TGTTGCTTTACTCGCTTATCGATATGTTTTTGATCGATCGTCCAATTCAAACGGGGATCGAAATTACGACGGCTAGCCTAGGTTCGAACCTATCGGTGTCTTCAGACTAAAGTCGTATTCGTCAAACGGGAGTTGGCCTTCAGATGCTCCATAAGTCCTTCCGCGGATTTAGAGTGCCATCTGCACTCGGCCCCTATCGTCCGGTGAAGCTGTAAAAGTGCGGCCAACAGCATTAGAGTAGTTAAAAAAAATTGTCGCTATGAATACTACAAATAATATAACACAATTTTTTTTTATTTATTGTTTCTACAAAACTGTACTAACCATACAAACATATAAAAGTGAAATGTCTCTCTTTTCTGTATATCGGTGTATTTGTTCTTGCTAATCTCTAAAACGGCTGGACCTATTTTGACGGAATTTTCATGATTTTTGTTTGTCAGTCTATTTGTTCTTGCTAATATCCGTAATTGAACCTATTTTGACGGTACTTACACTCGCAATTAGCTAATGTTGTAAAGATTAACTTAGGTTACTTTTATTTATTGTTTTATTAATAAAAGAAGTAAACATTACACATAGACCAATTTGCCGGTAACATCTAGTTTATTATCCTACTAAATGTAAACACACTGTTACAAACTCAATACGAGTTTATATAATAAGAAAAAGTATTGGTTTACAGAGACGGTGTCGTGCCTTTTATCTTCTATTTTAAATACAATTGGAAATCCACTTAAATATCATCCTCTAATCAATTGAAAGCTTATTTACAGCCTGGAGTCGTAGAAATTTCTAATTGTTATATTGTAACAAATCGATGAATGATCTGTAGTCGATATCATTGATGTAACCATATCATTGTGCTAAGGGTTATGTAGTACCAGCTGTACCAGCGACTTTGCCCGCGTGGAATTTAACTTTATTTTTCTAAAATAAAAGTAGCCTAAGTTACTCCTTATTACATCAGATACCTGCCAAAAAAAGTCCTATCAAAATCGGCCCAGCCAAAGTAGAGATTAGCCGGAACAAACCGACAAAAATTGTAAAAAATGTTATTTTGGTATATGTACTGTATTTATATTCATTTGCATGTATTAAAAAACTGTTATTTCAATATTACAAACAGACACTCGGGGAACAGCTAGTACATAATATACATAGAAAACACAGACCGATACAAACAATCAAATTCATGAATATAAATGTTTGTACCGTGCGAAGAATCGAACCCGCGACCATCAGAAGTAAAGCGGTGTACTAAACCGCTAGACCACCGAGACTGTTAAGTAAGAAATCAAATTAGTTATTTTTATTCTTAAATAAAACATCAAATCGAATGGTTTTTGTTGGCGCCCCGAGCTTGTTTATATAAAGCGTTTAATTAAGGCAATTAGAAAGATGGAGCCTGCCGTGTTTGCGTAAAAATCTAAACACTGGGAGAAATTGCCGGCTCCCGGTAGGGGCTGACGATGTATCGACGAATTGTCGAGTTCTCTAATTAACTGATTGATTGTTAGTTCCAAACATACATACACGTTCCAAATATTTGTTTCTGAAATTCAAAATTCATTTATTCATGTAGGACATTTTAGCCGCTTATAAACGTCAAATTATTTACATTATCATTTTAATTTTTTCCCTATCATCCAGTTCAGTATATAGATCCAATTGAGAAGAACTAGCAACAAACTCAATTGAATATTTTTTTTAAAAGCCAGTTTATTTACAATCTATATTTATATAGGTGTCTATGTCTAACATTAAATGAAAATCCAGTGCATGAACAACTATAGCCATGCACGCTCGTCATTCAAGTAATCGTTTAGTGAGTGATAGGCTTTGCTCAGTAAATATGATTTAATTGATGTTTTGAATTTGTTTATGAGTAATTCCAATATATACTTTGATTTCTTATTGTAAATTTTTATACCTATTCCCATAAAAGACCTATTAACTTTTTCTAAACGATACTTGGGGACAGCAAGTATGTCTTTCTATTCGTTGCGTTTATAAAAGATCAGCTCATATATGAATACAGTTGTCTGTCTGATTTAGTGTTGAGCAGATAGTTCAGATTAGGGTCGGCAACGCGCACTTAACGCCCCTGGTGTTTTAGGCGTCCATAGGCTACTGTAACCGTTTACCATCAGATGGGCCGTATGCTTGTATGCCACCTACGTAGTATAAAGAATATAGTGAAATAACAGGATCTTGGGCATGCTCTCACAATTCTTCGGAATGGCAACTCATGAGTAGCATCACGGATGACATGACAAAGTAATGTTCGGAGTCCTTTTTTTTACCCCTAACATTTAGGGGGATGAAAAATAGATATTGGCCGATTCTCTGACCTAGTCAATACGCTCACAAAATTTCATGAGAATCGGTCAAGCCGTTTCGGAGGAGTATGGGAACGAAAACTGTGACTCGAGAATTTTATAGATAAGATAATGGAATGGTGCACCCGCCTGCGCTAACGGCAACGCTAACGGGGCACGAGTGGAGGATGATAAAATGAGCATGAGGTCAGGTCTGACCAGACCTGACCTCATGCTCATTTGTTGTTGATAAATTAACCAGGAATTTATCCCGGTGGTATCCAGGGAGAACCGTGTGGAGGTCCGTAGTGCAGTTCATGTATATTTGCCATTGCAATCGTATAAATAACGTTTGAAAATACAGTGAATATGTGATAGTAAAAGCTCGGATAAGATTAATTCAATTGTTGTTTGCCAGCGCCGACCGCTGTTTGCGGAGCGTCCGCGGGTAAACCCCCACCCCTCCCCCACCAACCCCGCGTGTAATTACCACCCCCATCGGTATTAATTGGTCAAATTTAAATGATATACAAATAACGATGGAATTGCGTTACAGATTTTTTTTAATACATTCCTTCATGACTTATTTATGACTAGCTGTATCCGCGACTTTGTCCGCGTGGAATTTTATTTTATTTTCTAAAATAAAAGTAGCCTAAGTTACTCCTTATTCCATCAACTACCTGCCAATGAAAGTCCCGTGAAAATCGATCCAGTCATTTCAGAGATTAGCCAGAACAAACAGCCAGACAGACAAAAATTTTAAAAACTGTTATTTTGGTGTATGTAAGATATTTATATTCATATTCATGTAGTAAAAAAAGGTTATTTCAATATTACAAACAGACATTCCAATTTTATTTGTATGTATAGATACTATATTTATTGGCGGTATGTCTTAATATTTAGAACATTTTCTCCCAGTCAACGCTAGGGCAGACAGATATTTGTGTGTATTTAGCTAATACGCCAGATGTTGTCATGTTTTAACTATAAATATACATTGAATCAATCGCATTGGTACCTATACTTAAAAAAAAACATTAAAATAACAACCTTTCCCTGACAATAACAAACAGAAAAAAGGAATTAGCGAAATCGGTCGCCGTTCACGCGTGAACCGTGGGAAATAGGAATTCAATTTTATATATGTTAAAGTAGCTGTCCCGGCAAACGTTGTTTTGTCTTAAAATAAAAAAAAAAAATTAGGGGTGGACTACCCCTAACATTTAGGGGATGAAAAATGGATGTTGGCCGATACTCAGATCTACTACGTTATATATAATACGCTCACAAAATTTCATGAGAATCGGTCAAGCCGTTTCGGAGGAGTATGGGAACGAAAACTGTGACACGAGAATTTTATATATAAGATATATATATTTACTATATGTAAATTAGTAAAAAAAAGTGTATCTTAATCTAGTTTATATATTTATACGAGATAGTGGGTTCAGTTCTATTTTTTTTTAACTAAATAGCATACACATACATTATATGACTGTTTTTTTCTGACTATTAATAACTATTATTATTATTAAAAGTATATATTAGGTTCGTTTATTATTTATTAGACTTTATATAGGAGCCCTATTTAAATGTCTGAATGTCTATTATTTTGATTAACAAATAACATGATTTTGTAAAGATGGTTAATAAAAAAAATTCAACCCTACGTGGCAATGAGGGCGCGTGTCGGCCCGACGCGCCCCCGGGTTAACCGCTAATTAAAAGTACTGAATCGGGCTAATTATGTTTACTATCGTGCCCTCACCCCATCACTTTTGTACCCCACACTACCCCTTGTAAGCGAATTTATTTTGTACCTAGCAGTTCCCGCGACTTCGTTCGCATGGAATTTAACTTTAATTTTCTAAAGATAAAAGTAGCATAAGTTACGTTAGTAAGTTATTACATCAGCTACTTGCCAAAAAAAGTCCCGTCAAAATCAGTCCAGCCATTTCAGACATTAGCCGGACAAACAGACAGACAGACAAAAATTGTAATAAATGTTATTTTGGTGTATATAACGTATTTATATACATATGCATGTAGTAAAAAACGGTTATATCAATATTCCAAACAGACACTCCAATTTTATTTATATGTATAGATCTACCATTTTAATTTTCTTCAATATTGTATAAATTAATAAAATAATGTAGAAGTATAAATTGAATTTGACGAACTTGTTTGTCTAGCGGTTTGGCACCCCGCTTTATTTCCGATAGTGCAGATTCGATTCTTCGCACGGTACTAATATTTGTATGTATGAGTATAATTGGTCTGGGTGTTTTCTATGTTTATTATGTATCTATAGGTCGAGGATGGTGTGTGAGTTATTTTATAAGCATTTAGTGAAAAGCTGTTAATTTGAAATTACAAACAGACGATTCAATTTTATTTATTTGTCTATGTATTACACACACATATATATATGAAACAAATTTCGCAACACAATATTCTGTGCGTATAAGCTATATTACTGTAAAGTTTCATCAAAATCCATTCAGTAATTTTTGCGTGAAACTGTACCAAACATCCACTCATATATTCAACCATACTAACGAACTATCAAATAACTATTGTTAAGTGTGAAATTACGAAATTTAGATCCCCTTCCTCCCCCTAACGTGTGACGAGTGTGATGAGATTATAATGATGTGATTTGTCGATCAGGTCGGAGTTGATACGAACGCCGCCCCTGCCACCGTCCCCGCCACCAGCGTCGTCAGCGCCGCCCGCGCCGGTCACAGCTACCAGCAGCAGCAGCGCAGCGAGCCCCGCGCCTCCCCCAACACCCCCCTCGATCCCCATACTACCCTCTATCGCAGACACCCCGCTACCGCTGCAACCGCCGCCGTCTATAGTCGAAGTCCTCGTCAGTTCTACACCCATTGCTGTGAGTATACTTTGTTCAAAGTAGTTTTTTATTCCACGTAAGAATAGAATAGAAAATCATTTATTCAAATAAACTTACATTGAAGCACTTTTGAATAGTCATTACATTTTTTTTAATCTACCGCTCGTTCGGAAAGCTGTCTCATCACAAGAAGAACGAGCAAGAAACTTGCGTGTTGCTCTTTTAAATAATTTTTTAGCTGACATGACAGATGGATATATAGGTCCCTAATGGGAAGCAGAAGCGTAGGCCGAGCAGCTGACAAAAAGAGAATATACAATTGCCAAAAAGAAGACGAGATAAAACTTTTAAACAAGGCATTATTACTATCAGACAGTTACCCTCAAAGGAATTTAAATTGAAAATAAAATATTATTATGAAAACATCCTTTTTATAATATTACAGAATATATGAATCAAAATGTAATTATAATTTTTAAACATTATTATGATGTATTGTAATTAGTTATACCGTGTATTTTGTACGTAATTAATTTATTTTATTTTATCTAATAATATAGGTAATTGTAATCCAATTTAAATTTGCATATTATGACTTGCCATATATGTAAAGATACTTTTTACATTGGTCAATAAACGAAACTAAACTAAAGACGGCAGGACCGACCTGGACAAGACAGACAGGCGGAAGAAAGTGGAAAATTATGCAACAGGCATATGTCCAGCAGTGGACTAATATATACTGAAAAAGAAGATGTATTTTTGTGTTTAAGTATTTGTATAAGTTATCTACTATAGTACTCATAACACTAACTCTGCTTAGCTTGGGACTAGATGCCGCTGTGTAGATTGTCCAGGGATATTGTTATTTATCAGAAAGAAGGAGGCGTAATCACGGTTAATAATGTATTAATTAGTATATTTTAATTTTATTAACTTTATTATTATACTTATACTAACATACATATCTTATATATAAAAATGAATCGCTAAATGTGTTGGTAACCGCTAATCTCGAGAACTACCGAACCGATTTCGATAATTCTTTTTTTAGAATATTCCTAAAAATTGCCTAAAAACAACTGTTTTCTGTAATCCCATACAAACAATTCTTAATGATACTTAAAAGTCAATTTGAACTTTAATACCATACCATAAAGTTCAAATGTTAGTGGAGAGGTTCCGGGAATTGTTTAGTATAGAAATCAGTAATAAATGTCACTTGAAATGTAAATGTCTCATTGATATGTATTTATAATATTACTACAAATCTAAAAGAAAAATTTAATAAGTGTTGTGTGATTGTAACTCATTTATACTCGACAAGCCTCTTATAAGATATGCCTCCATAATGTTCAACAGTCAAGTCTAAGGTCTGCAAGGTCCATTAATAAGGCGGCGGAAATATTTAGACAGAAGAGCCCGAAATGCAACGAATCTCATCTAATCGTACTGCTCAGGAAGAATCAGTTAGGCGATACGAAGTTCGCCGGGCCAGCTAGTATAAGAATATATATACACATATAGTTTATACTACGATGGTGGCAAACAAGCATACCCATCTGACGGTAAATGGTTACTGTAGCCTATGGACGCCTGAGACACCAGAGGTGTCACGTGCACGTTGCTGACCCTTAAGAAACCTTAATATACCCTTCTTGAAAAACCCCATGCTGTAGTCTCGTGAGTAAATCTCGGCAGATAGTTCATTCTACAATATTATAACGGCGAAACGAATATCTATTTGAGTATTTAATTGAATTAGTGCTAATTGGCGGTTTGTATTCACACACTTAAACTTAAAAATGTAAAGTAATAATAAAATTATTTAAAAGAGCAACACGCAAGTTTCTTGCTCGTTCTTCTTGTGATGAGACAGCTTTCTGAATGAGCGGTAGATTAAAAAAATGTGATGACTATTCAAAAGTGCTTCAATGTAAGTTTATTTGAATATATGATTTTCTATTCTATTCTATTCTAATATATGGAGGGTATGCGGGAGGAAGTTCCTCTGTAAGCGCAGTCACTTAGATCAACTGTTAGTTGTCAAGTCCACTTAGATTCTAGAGTGTGGGGATGACTATAAATACGGTACTGACGATGGCAATCTGCCACGCTAGCGACACACCCCTTTCAGCCAGTAGTCCTCCTTCATATATGATATCCTCCAGCAGTTTTTTTTTTTTAGTGGATGATAATGGAATGGTGCTCCCGCCTGCGTTAACGGTTTACGCTGGCGGGGCACCAGTGGAGGATGATAAGATGAGCATGAGGTCAGGTCAGTTAGCCCATCGTGACAAATTCACCAGTAATTTATCACGATGGTTTCCAGGGGGAACCGCGTGGAGGTCAACCTGACATGGTACATTGCTAGCAATGAGACCATCAGTCCACATTACTAACAATCCTCTTTCCCCCTTCCTCCAGCAGTTGGCGCCATCAATAATCGTGACGTCGACACCAGCGCCGACGTCGTGCGTGACGTCATCGGTGACGTCATCAATGACGTTGCCGGTGTCGGGCGCGGGAAGCAAACCGCCGACGCCGCAGCCAGCGCAGCCGCCGACGCCCACGCAGCCGCCGCCCACACCGGAAGCCGGTGAGTGATGATGATGATGATGATTTATTAGAGATGTGTATAAAATAATCGATGATGTGTTCTTTTTTATTGTCTAAATGGCAATATAACATATATGATATTTGCTAGATATCAATTGACTGGGAGCGAGGATGTTAAGATGTTATATTATACAGTTAAATATTTTAACGCAATCGTATTATACAATTAAAAACAAACATATATTTTGTGATATATATATGAAATTTAAACGGCATCAGTGGTCTGGCGTTCTTAGCTCGCCGCTTTACACCCTATATTTGCAGGTTCGATTCCACCCACGGTCGAAATAATTGTATTCACGAGTCTGATTGTTTATCATACATAGAAAACACCCAGGCCGATACAAACAATGTTACTCGTGAATACAAATGTTTTTGCCGTGCAAGGAATCGAACCCGCGACCATCGGACGTAAAGCGGTGTGCATCATGTGTTAGGATAAAAGAGTAGTACTTACAAGAATAGACAAAAAAACGCCTGTGTAGTGTTTGTTGGAGGAATATTGCAATGTTTAATTTGTTTTAATTGAAATAAAAATGAATATTTAGAATATTTTGTACTCTGATTTTAAGTGACGCCACGGAATGTTCGAGAAGAAGTGCAAAATGTATATAAAACTAGCTGTCCCGGCAAACGTTGTTTTGCCATATAAATTAATAACGCTATAAAAAAATAGGATTGGAAAATTTAGGATTGTATGTATTCTTGTATGTTATATCATAAAAAATAGAAACTAAAAATTTTTTCTAAAAATTAAAAAAAATATAGCGGGTGGACTACCCCTAACATTTAGGGGGATGAAAAATAGATGTTGGCCGATTCTCAGACCTACTCAATACGCTCACAAAATTTCATGAGAATCGGTGAAGCCGTTTCGGAGGAGTATAGGAACGAAAACTGTGACACGAGAATTTTATATACAAGATAATATCAATGTTCTGTGCCTGACGATCCAAATTGGATTTTTATAATTTTGCTTTTAAATATTTTAAAGGGAGGATTATAGAAGAGGCAACGTCTGGCCAAAATATAAGTACTTATATAAAATAAAATGGATTCACGTCGATGGACGACGTATCCCAAAAAAAATATACAATATGTCTGATTATAGCCATAAGGCTGATGGCAGATGGAAAGAGAAAAGGGAAAATATTAAAGGGCTATTTGGGATCGCAAATATGTAGATATAATAGATGTATAGATAAGTAGCTAATATTAATATTTGGCCCCGATTGTGTTATTTATGTGCTCCCGATATTTGGACGCCGTTACAAGTACCACAGTCACGGGCCGACACTTTATAATGTATGCATTTGACGTCGTTACAAAGTTAGTTGTTACTAAAATTAGGTACAGTATGAACTATTCATGGTCGTAATATATATATATGTTTTAGTATATTTTCTGCATTTGCAACTATATGATTAAATAATCTATTGGATCCTATATTATTAGTTTAATGTTATACTAATAATGACTATAATTGTGTATTTAAATTTTAAAAACTATTTATATTAAATGGTTACTGAAGAGAGTTATTATAAATCTTACATCGTTTAACGATCGCTTGTTCTTGTTCATAATCTAAGAACAGTTATTAAAATGATTGTCGGTCTAGTCAAGGAATAAATAATTTTACTGCTGACTTAAAAAAACTGGAGGTTCTCAATTTGAATAGTGTTTTTTGTGTTATCTTAGAATTTTTTTACATGTATATCACTTTACATTTGACTTCTTAATTGTGGTTTCGAGTCGATTCTTGATCCAGCCAAGGAATGTATAATTTTACTAACGATTTCAAAAATAGGTAGAGCTTCTCAATTCAACTTTATTTTTTGTGTTACCTCAGTACTGTTTTATATTTATATTGAATTCATGTTTTCTTTTATTACTTTAAAATTGATTCAACTTATCTAGTCCACTTTTGTATTTATGAGTATGATTGTTTGTATCGGTCTGGCTGTTTTCTAGGTATATTATGTATGTATTTACGAAAAAAAATTATTTATGTATTTGTATCAGTTATCTAGTACCCATAACACAAGCTTTAGCTAGCTTGACCTGGGTCTAGATGGTGCTGTGTGAATTGACCTGAGATTATTATTATTATATATTATTACTTTGAATTTAATGGAGATCTGGCCAGTAGTTTTTGAGTTATTCTTAGTAATACAATTGAAATAGGATTTAACGTGGTCTGAAGTCGTGTTTAACGATATTAATTGACAATATATTCAAGGACAGTTCGAGGATTGTCCAACCATCTGTTTAATAAGATGAAAATAAATTTAAACATCGTTAATTATTAAATTTTTATTTTAACAACTTTACAATTGATTCAGATAATTATTTAACCTACGGGGAGTAAGCTCGACTGAGATCACTGAATACTGATATGTTTCACAAATTCACTACCCGACCGTCTAAACATTTAGTTTTTTTTTCTTCTTCTCGCTCTGGCAAACTTTAATTGTCACCGACACTTGAGGGTTCGCCTGCACGTCGTGACCTTGTCGCGACGTCCATTTATTGTGCTATTAATTTGTCGCACTCGACGTCGACGGCTCCGGCTGTATCTCGCCACTCGTAGTCACGTTCGATTCCTCGGCGTGGCACCGCTTCCTGTGCTTGTGCACGAAGTAATACGACGGAAACTTGGACCCGCACGTCTTGCAAGGATAGTAGTGCAGAGTGGTCTTCGCGTGGTTAGATTTTCGGTGGCGGCACGTCCAGTTGCGCTCCGACGTGGTCTCCTGCCAGGCCACGTTGAGGACCCGACTGAAGCGGACGGGGCCGTCGCAGCACGCTATGTCCAGCACGGTGCTGGACTGACGTTTCGGTGGGTCGGGAGCTTCTATGCGCTCGACGTCGAGCTCGCTGGAGGACGTGGAGGCCGGGGACTGCGGCGGCGGCGTGGTAGGCGGTGACGGAGCCCGCGCGCGGCGCGGCACGGGCCGATGGGCGCCGGGCGGGGGCGCGGGCCGGGCCACGCACGGGCTGGGCCCGAGCCACGCGCGGTACAGCGACAGCATCCCGCCGCGCTCTCTCGCCGACTGTGGGAGGTCATATCGCGCGGATTCCTTATATAGCCATCGCGTCACGATCAAATTATAATTTGGATTTTCCTCTCTGGGACCGTGTTTGTTTTCCTAATGTTATGTCAATAATAAGATAGAACTACGACTCCGTCATACATTTACAGTTCAATATCGCCCCGATTCGATTTGATAGTAAATAAATCGTTTCAGACATAATATTTGGTTGTTTGTACAATGTTTTTCTAGCAAATACAAACAGCATCAAGTTAATTACTAAAGTTTGTTGGTAATGATGTTGTTTGTTGAAATTAATAAGATTATTTGATCGTAGTAATTATATTACGGTACAAAAGAATGTTAGTTTTTTAATATGAAATTTTAATTGCAAACAAGCAGATAGCTTACAGCAGCTTATCATAGGATATAATGTAGCTTACTTTTAGTAGAGGTGGTCACCACTTACCATCAGATGAGCTGCCAGCTGGTTTACCATCTCAATTCCAATTATGATAATCAGTGATTTCAATCATAAGACTGTATAGACTTTAGACAAGAAGTACTTATTATTATATTATAAAAAAGTTACGATACTTACAAACTTTCGCGTTTATAATATTAGTACCTACTCGCCCAGGCTTCGCCCGGGTGTACATGTATTATATATATAAACCTTCCTCTAAAATCACTTTATCTATTTAAAAAAAATCGGTTTTAAAATCCGTTGCGTAGTTTTAAAGATTTAAGTAAAAGATTAAGATAAGTGTGCGAAATTTCATACGACTCCAACCACGCAGTTACCTTAAAAGAGGGTTCAAAGTTTTTGTTTCACGTATTAGTATATAGATACCAACTCATACACAAGTATGATGCTTCAAAATCAAACGTAATTTTTATATGTCCTCCGCTATGACACGCTGTAATCTTTGTTCAAAACGACGCTTTTTCTAAGCGAACAATGAATAATATATTCCCGTTTCGTTTGCGTAGGACTGTCGCGTTTTAACATCTGTATACTGCGGCCCATGGGACGCACGCCGGTTGTCTTGTTAGACGGTGGTATGCAACCATGAACCAAAATATTAACAATGGTAACTCTTCATTAATAACAAATAATGAGCATGGCAATAGTTGTTCATCCACAGGATTTTCATCTAATGTTAGAAATTGATATAAGTATAAATTTTAAATAACTCTGACTTTAAAAATAAGAGTTTTAAAAATTCTTCGATTGATTCGAAAAAAGTTGTGTTTTTTGCCAGTTCTTCTCAATTGAATATATATACTGAACTGGACGATAGGGAAAAAATACATAAAAAAATACGATACTAAGCGGCTAAAGTTACCTACATGAATAAATGATTTTTTATTTGATTTCTTAATTTCATATATACGTCGATTAAAAATTTACATCATTCTACGAAAATTATATTATTTTTTATTATCAGTTTTTTTTTTTATTTACGATCATCACACCAACTGACTTGTATGAGATTTGACACTGTTAAGACAGAGTTTGTTTTTATTTTTTAATTTTTCTTGTATACGATACTTATAGCCAATTAGATTTTATTAGATTTTGTTGCTTATTCCTGTTACTTTGAGTACATAGTTACCTAACTCAGTCGTAATCGTTGTCATATTCTAAAACCGAAAGCCTCACTGAATTCTTCCGTACAAACCAGAGGTTTTTCTCCAAATGATGTGTCTAGTCCAATAACTCCACCATGAGCTCCAAACCTGCAAAAATTAGTTGTCCAGTTATACAAAATACACATAACAATTCGTCAACACAAGAAAATGTCAAATCCTCATCTTTTGGTCGAAGAATCAGGAAACCTTGTAGATTCGATAATGAATAATTATTTTATTGTCTTGTGTAATATAAAACCTAAAAAGTTGTTATGTTAATGCTTAGATAATGGTTCCTTACGATGTAAACTCG